CAGTGACGAAAAGTTAGCACTGACATCGAACATCATTCAGAGTATTCCGAATTTCGTACTCTAAAATCGTTATTCACAATATTGAATTTTCTTTGAACTTCTAGCAAACTTGGAGATCGAAATTAAAAAAAAGAACATATTAAGTTTTTCTTTTTTCTTTCAGTTTTTACCGTGTTTTGTGGTTTTAACTCTTGATCTTTAACTGAAGCGACATAGTATTGTATAAAACAGGCGATATGTAATGTGAAGATATCTGTCACTCAAGTTTAAAGAAGGCATTTCAATGAAAGTTTTATATCAACATTTACAAACAAGTTTTGGGTTGTATTTAGTATAGACCGAAGAATGTTTATGTTTAGTTTATACCCAATAAATGATGAGTTTTTATTGAGTTTAGATGTAAATGCATTTCATATATTATTCATTTCATTTTGTTTAACTTAATGCATGTTTCGTCGGTACATTAGATTTAAAGTGATTAATCATGTTTTTCATAATAGTACTATATTTGCTTAGCTACAAATTATGTAATGTCTTAAAGGAACTCAACTGAGGTTTGTGGACAGGACGGGTTGGAAATAATATTTCGAGATTCATGTTCCATTTGATGTAGGTCTATACTAATAACATGTGTGCAAAAATTCAGATCATTCGCTCACTCCGTTTTTCTTGAATATTTATTCTAAAGGTGAAAATAATTATCAAAATTTGAAAAAAGTTGCAACGCTGTTCACTCAAATCAGGCTAAGAATAGCACACATAAACAACCTTCAATTTATTTTCGAATATATTTCTTTAAAAAATATCGTTTGTATATTTCTATTGTAAGTGCCCCAGCTGATCTATATAAAAAAATATTTAAGCCGCGTCACGACCAAAACCAACATAGTGGGTTTGCGACCAGCATGGATCCAGACCAGCCTGCGCATCCGCGCAGTCTGATCAGGATCCATACTGTTCGCTGTCAGTTTCTCCACTTGTAATAGAGTTGGTAAGCGAACAGCATGGATTCAATGCTGGGCGCAAACCCACTATGTTGGTTTTGTCGTGACGCGGCTCATTTTTCTTTCCTTTCTCAGCTTTTATTTTCTGTTGGAAAAAACACTTCTGTGTTGTTTCAAACTAAGTATTTCAGTAATTTATCTTGGAAAAGTGCATCATATTACTGTTAACCCTTCTTCAAGAACTATTAATAACAAATCAGTGACGTTCGTTTCCGGAATAAAAAATTATCGGACTGGTATATTGGAGGTGCCGAACGGTTTCCTCATAAAGCCAGCAGATTTTTTTCTCCACCATATCTTTTAATTCGGCAATGACATGAAACGATTTATCTAAAAATAACATATTTAATCTTTAGAAAAAGCTGAAGACCGCTTTAAAAATCGGAAACGTTTGTGATGATGGTTAAATCTATTGATCTTATAATTTAAATTTCAATCATAATAGCTTTGAAGATAAACTTTAAACGTTATCTCAAGGGAAGACGCAACGAATTATATACTGTATAAGTTAAAAAGTTTCTTGCATGGTTACAAGATAGCTGATATGGAATAGAAAATAATCTTTTGTGTTGCTATGGATATTAGACCTATACCTATCATTACGGGCTTTGTTCATGAAAATAAATTGGATAACCACATTTTGAATTACGATATAAAACAATACTTTATATCATAAATATCCTGAAGAGTAATAATTAAATAATAAAATTAAATTAAGTATGCATAAAACTATAAGTTTACGCTTGCAAGCATGTCTATGACTATCATTTTCGTAATAAAGTTGTCCATAAAAAGTGTACTTATCTGTTTCCGTACTTAAAACTTTATGCGACTAGCACGATTTATTTTCCTGAGCAGTCAGTGGTATAAGCCCTGTTTATATTTCATGGGTGTTCAGATTGCATTGGTGATGGCAGATACCTGAAATTTACCGCTCGGTACAGATAGGTTATAGTTTTGATTAGTTTTATTGTTGAACTCAATCACGGCCCATTTCATTACTATGAAACTATTGTCCATTGACTGGAGATACTATTAGGTAATTTGGGACTCGTGTTTCCTGTTTTTAGACTATTTTGAGCAGGTAAAAAGTGACAGCTTCAGAAAAATCCGTGAAAATGTCGGTTTTTTGTTCAGTGTGATATTAGTAAAACTTCATGGGTGTTCAGATTTTATTGACTCTATACTAGTCACACTTCATGGGTGTTCAGATTTTTATTGACTCTATACTAGTCACACTTCAGGGGTGTTCAGATTTTATTGACTCTATACTAGTCACACTTCATGGGTGTTCAGATTCTATTGACTATTTTAGTCAAACTTCATGGGTGTTCAGATTTTATTGACTATACTAATCACACTTCAGGGGTGTTCAGATTTTATTGTAGTCTAATAAGATTTGTTGGTATGAATTATGTTCTCGTGGTATTTTTGTATAAAAAATTGACATTATTTATTGACGCTTAAGTTACACGAGCATTTCTTAATGACTTGCTTATATAAATTTATATGTATTTACGCAAAAGCCATCACTGGTCCCACGATATGTCATACATGCGCACGCGTACGTAATACATATTGCGTGATCACGTTATTTAGCTATCTCAATCGCACGTATTGGACGTCCCTTGCAAAGATTATATATATATATATCCCCTTTATGTCATCATTACGGTGGCTTTAAGGTGGCATGTGTGTATTCTGCCAATATAGCGAAATAGCTAAGTGTTTATACGATAATATGAGAAGGAATAAGTCCTGGTTTATTTCATTTGGAAGAAACATTGCCAACGGACGGTAGATAGCCTATAAGGTCATGTCCTTGTCTGATAAATAATTTAGAAGGAATAAACCATGGTTTAAAAGACATGATTTTTAACCCAGAAAGATCATTGCACCTGATCAGTAGATGACATTTAATAATTTCGGGTGTCTGGTTAATTAAGAAAATTCATATAAATGGTGTAATCTGATTGGTTTTTTTATCTCGTGGCCACAACTTAGTAACTCGTGGCCACGACATAGTATCTCGTGGCAACGACTTAGCTATCTCGTGGCCACGACTTAATTATGGAAGCTTGAATTGACCCCCCGAGATGCCGTGGTCCGTGATAAATTGTATGTGGTCATGTTGACATATATTAGTGCGACATGGCGTGTTTTACCATGGTTTGGATGGGGAAAAAATATAATCTTGACAACACCTGTATCAGAGCATGTCGACTTTACTTTTGTCTATCATAGAAGAGGACTGGAGCCTAATTATTATTCGGAAACTAAACCCCGCCCATCGATTAATGATTGACGTACTGCATAACTATAGCGTTGATTTTAAGCTTTAAAGTATATCAGTCTGATGTTTATTTTCTCTCTTTTATACATGTATATCAATTGAGTTATGTATAATACGCGCAGAGCATTTTGTTGAATAACCTTTCTGGAAACAAAACAAGTTAAATTACTTAAGTGCTCTTTAAATAACCTTTTGGCTAAAATTTTCAAATGAACATTTTTGAAGGTTATATGTATATACATATATAAAATATAGAAGGTTGCTTAGCAAACACTGATTAAGTTTCCGAATATTAATAAGGTCTTTCCGACAGTACACATGACGTTATGATGCTGTGATATTTACCAAAAGCAGAGATATTACTAGGCTTGTCGAGATGAAACAGGTTGACATAGCTGTTCACAATTCTCATCAACTCCTTTATGGAGAAGATTATATGTCGACATGCATTAAAACAGGCGTTGTCAAGACGTCTTTAATATCCCACCAAACAATGATAGAAGGCGTCATGTCGCGTGAAAATGTGTCGACATGCCGACACACGAGTTATCACGCTTATGGCTTCTAGGGGGTCAATTCAAGCTTCCATACTTAATAACTCGTGGCTACGACATAGTATCTCGTGGCCACGACTTAGCTATCTCGTGGCCACGACTTAGTAACTCGTGACCACGACATAGTATCTCGTGGCCACGACATAGCTATCTCGTGGCCACGAGATAGTAGCTCGTGGCCACGACATAGTATCTCGTGGCCACAACTTAGCTATCTCGCGGCCACAACTTAGTAACTCGCGGCCACGACATAGTATCTCGTGGCCAGGACTTAGCTATCTCGTGTCCACGACTTAGTAACTCGTGGCCACGACATAGTATCACCTATGTGCCACCGTACATCATAGATACATGCTGCAAAGTGAAATTGTATCATAGAGCATGTTACATTGCTTATTTCAGAATACAAGTTTTTGGGTGAATTTGCATGGCATTGATGTGCGGGGGAAAACGCTATCAATTTATTCATTTTAGACATGTATAAATTTAAATAGCAATATATCATACAACAATGACTACTTACGATAATACCCACTTCTTGCACTTTTAAACTTCATATATGTTATAACGATTTAAAATCGATTCATGAAGTCAGGCGATGTAAAATATACATAAAAGTCAATTTTAAAATGATATTTTTGTGTAGTTTAGAACGGATCAAGTTGAAAATAAAATCTCAACATGCAGTTACTTGCAGACTTTAATCGTATGTATACATGTATACGGATGGTGGTGGCCGGTAAGTAAGCTGCTATCGGCAGACCAGTTTCATTTTTAAAAACAGACTGTCTTCAGCGATCTTTCATCGGAGAAAATATAAGGCAACTAGGCACAAGGGGTCTCTAGACGCAATTCCTTGACAACTAAGGTCCGTGTTTAACCTTAAAGATTTAAATTGAATTGCAGTTTCATAGCCATAATCAAAATCATGAGAAAATAATTAAATCATCTGTATCATGTCTTCATACCATAAAGTTTTTATAGGTTTTAAAGCAAACAAATCGAGTAAAAGCAGTACAAAATTTAAAAAAAAATAAAGACAAACACATTTATAGATTTTAAATTTTACCTCTGTCAATCGATAAATCGGACAATTGATAAACAGCCGCTATTTTGTGGTTAAAGACATGCTTCAGCGCATACAAGGAATACAGGCATACCATTTATAGTGTAATATCGCTTAGGTCGATGAAAAGACAGTCTCTAATGTACATTTATGTTTAATAGCGGTGTTATGTAGCCATATTCAAATCGTAAACAGGACTTGAGAATATATTTGGACCATTCCTTCAAGGTTTGTAACTTTGTAAATGAATTAACTTATATCTTACTCGACAAATATTTTTGTTGTTTACAGATACAATGGTATTTCCTTCGCAACATTGTCTCCTTTCAGGGATTCAGTCGTAGAAATTTCAAGATAATGTCAAATTTCATGTTACCGGCTGATAAAACAAAATATCTGCTTAATATGGAAAAGATATCATTGCATACATATATCTATACTTGTCATTGAATACATACATGTATATCTATACTTTATTGATCGAAACCAAAATTTTAAAAATGTAATGAGATTTGCTGAGTGAATCAAAGCACTGAAGCTGCCACCCTTTTATAACTAATACAATAGAGGTATTGTGAAAATTGTGTTATAGTGTCTATGAATACTAAATGTGGAAATTGACTTTAAATCATATATTTGGAGGTTGAAATATGGACTGGAAGGAATGAGGACGGATAATCTTTATCCCTATACATGATAACGACGTGACAGGAATTATGTTAGTATAAATGAATGAAATAATTCAAATAATTTTTATTCAAATAACAAACCTCGTGCCCTAGTGTTCAAGGTTGGTACATGTTTATGGAACTAGATGATTTATATATGTCTTTTCAGACGAAAAACATCTTAGCAAAGTATGCATTGATTATTCTACTGTAATTCTAAACCGTCGCGTTTTATTTTGTAAATATTGACTTAGATTTTAAACTGAATAATTGGTGTCGGGTAGAACGTTTGTGCTTGGTAAGTTATTTATCCTGCGATCGATTGCTGCACAATATATCATATAATGACAAATGATGCTAAATGGGTAAACGTCAAAAGTAAGAATTAATTTCTAATCATTCGGAAAATTGTTATTATCAAGAGTGAATCGTGGTTGATGTGAACTTCTTTTTATCATTTTAGAATGCACACATTTCAAATACTGCTTGTTCATGCTCAAGCAAACATTTCGAATTTTAGGTTTCTAACGTCGAATTTATTACATCTACAAAAAAGACTATTTGACCTTCAGAACAATATAAAAAAGATGGAAATATGCTTTAAATATCGTGAAATGATGGGGGATTTAAATAAATCATAATTTGTTTGTTTGTTTGTTTGTTTCATTTTACGCCTTTTTCAACAGTATTTCAGTCATATAGGCGGGTAGTTTCCTAACCATCGTTCCTGGAGAGTTACACCAGTACTAGACTACCTTCCTCCGCGCTAAACTACCAAAGCATCTCCCGGGGATCGAACCCACGCCAGAGAGGTAACTGGATAAGAAGTCATCGACTCTAACCCCTCGACCACGGAGGCGGTAAATAAATCATAAACAAATAAATAGAAATAAATAATACTAATAATTTTACATTATTTTTGGTTTCTTTGTGAGATGTTCTATTGACCAAATGATAAATACATTGTTATAGCATTTGTTCGCGTAATAACGCATTCTGGTTCGCGTTATTACGCTTTTTAATTCGCGTTACCACGCCTTACTTTCGCATTACTTCGCTTTTATTTGCGTCACTACGCCTTCGTTCGTGTTTTTTGTTTTTGTTTTTCTTCGCCTTTTCATGCCTTTTGATTTCCGTTTCTACGCCTTTTTGATGGGCGTTATAACGCCTTTATTCGCGTTAGAACGCCTTGACATATAAGACTTTCGTATAAATGAGTTTATCGTTAAAATAAAAAAGATTTGATATCTGTAATGTTACAAAAGTACATATATCGAGATACACAGTGACAAACGTACTCAACATATTTATATTTTGTGTTATTATCTATTTTTGTGGAGTTATGGGAAAATGTCTCATAAAAGTCCTTGTATATATTGTATATTAAACAACATACAAGATGAACAATTATTCCAAATGAATTATATTTGTAATAAGATTGCAAAAGTTTAATTGGTATTTTTATTTAACTTTTCAAATAGTGACTCATACCAGTTAAAGTTTTATAAATGTCACGTCTGTAATATAAGGAAACATAAGCGTTAAGGTCTTAAATGCATTTTCATAAAGAAATATAAAACTTTCAAATGAATATGTAATGTCGATAGTAATTGTCGGTATTCTGCTTTTTGAATTGGCATTTATTGATTGATCTACTATTTTAGCTATGACAAAACGGGCAAATAAAGTGTTGCACTCAGATACACCAACACCAGAAAACGAGATTTCACCGGACGCCGTTCTCGAACATAACGTGAAATCTCGAGACGAGAACATGATGACCACTGAGAACCAAACATCGGAGCAAAACAACACATCGGACCAAAAGAAGAAGCATCGTAAGAAGCGGTAAAACTAGTTATATCTTTAAACACATTTGGGAAACAATCAAAATGAAGTAAACATGTTAGTGATGCATGTTTCATCAAATGGATAAGTTTAGATTTTTATATAAAACATATCTAAGCGGTCAGTCAGTGAGCAAATTGATTTACAAAAATGTATCTTTAAATAGATGTATATTTCAATTGCAAATGAAGAAATGAGCGGCGTCACGACAAAACCAACATAGTGCGTTTGCGACCAGCATGGATCCAGACCAGCCTGCGCATCCGCGCAATTTGATCAGGATCCATGCTGCTCGCTTACCAACTCTATTACAAGTAGAGAAACTGATAGCGAACAGCATGGATCCTGATTAGACTTCGCGGATGCGCAGGCTAGTCTGGATCCATGCTGACCGCAAACCCATTATGTTGGTTTTGACGTGACGCGGCTCAATTGGTTTTCAAACGTACCTTAGCTATGAACTTATCATATAAATCAATACACTGAAACATATAGCCTCACTTATGTTTGTATGCCAGAAATGAAACAACCAAATAGCGTATTAAATGTTCAACTGAAGTATTGATATTCATCTAATTTCAGAAAAAAATCTAAACATCGACATCCTGACCTGGAAGAGGTAAGTTTATTTTTGAAAATAAATCAGTGTCCTGAAACGGATGTAGACCATATGAAAAATAAGCATTGAAACAGCTACTACATTAATACGAATCATGCCTCGTACTTACAGGTTTTCAATCATTTACATTATTAAAAAAATTGGAAGGGCCTCCTTTTCAGAAAGACGTAAAATACAAAGAAAAAGTAACAATAAACAAAGCTATTAATTGTTTTCTTCTACAATACTTAATCGTCAGATTAATTCAGAAACACTATATCATTTACTTAGAAACAATTATATTATATTACAATAGTTAGGCGATGTGACACCTCCGCAAATCGTTTATGTGTGGATGTTTTGCGTTGCGTATTTTACAGATGTTAACTTTTTGCGTTGAATTTGTCAATGGGTAAGGTGTGCCTTTTACCGCATATCATCTACATCAGGAAAGGAAGCTCACGAATGGTGAGATTGACTTGTGTGACATTTCCTTCGTAGACCTCAACCAAACGTTTTCAAATAATAGTCTTTATGGTGACATGTTGCAGTCATTTCAAACCTGCAAGAAATTTTATCTTTTTATTATAAAATGTCGTTTGCAACTTACTAACCCGCGCGATTTTATGCCGAAATCATACACAATTTTGCAGTGAATGATTAAACCTCGACAGTTTCTGGAAGCATTTTGACCGCCGGAGACGTTCATTGTTTGAATTTATATTTTATCCCTCGTTTGTCGGTAAAAAGTCAAGGAACAGAATCAAATCCGCGACATTTTTGTAAGAAGTCCACGGAAAATTTTTTAGTTCCTCAACAACGCCGAACGGTCTCATAAAATATCGCGGCGAGTAAAAGCAATTTTAAGCAGCGACATTTTGCGAAGACAGATTGATTTAACCCATAAATCCGCGACTTTTTAAAAAGTAGCCGCGATTTCTTAAGAGACATTTTCCGGCATAAAAAGGCGAGAGTAAATGCTTCAACTCGACTTTTTACAAGGTATGCATCAAAATAAAATGTTGGGGATTATAATGGCCGAAAAGGGCTTCCTTAAGTAGGTATATGTGCATGGATAAGTTTACTATATGACAGAAAATGTCGCAGTTTCATTCGTTAAACTAGACTTTTACGTCAGAAGTGTGACAGAAATACACAAGAGTAGGTAGCTATAAGCCGCGACATTTTCGACAAAAATTCTCGCGGGTTTGAAAGTTGCCATCGACATTTTATAATGTGTAAAAATTCTCGCTGCCTTTAAATGGACGCTACCGCCCAACATAATTGTTTGGGTCAAATTTACTATGGCCCTGCGATCATGGTTTTTTGTCGTGGACGTTGTAAGTTTGCTTAAATCATGACGCTGGAATTAGAATTAACTGAGCCGGGGTTCACTCGATTTCACATAGTGTGCATAGCAACCATTGCCTTTCTATAGCAACAAGCGACGTCAATAGTAACCATTGCGACCACCGACATCTATAACAATCATTGTCTTTTCTCAGCAACCTCTGACCATCGTAGGAAACACTGATTTCGCTTGGAAACCATTGACTTCCATTAAAATCATTAACTTAAGGAGAGTGTCGTTCGTGGGGAGTGGTTATGGTGGTTTGGAAAGAAAATTGTTAAAAAGAACTTATTGTTTTACAACAGGGTCCACTCTGCAGATTGCACAGTAACTCTGAATAGGCAGATAAGGTTTGATCGATAATTGCCTTCATACAGACTTATAATGTTAGTTATCAAAAATAGTTTATGGGAATACGGAATAACGAAAAAGCGAAAAATGCAAAAAAGAACGGAATAACAATGTTTACCCAGCCCTTGATTTTCAAATTCATTACGTCTCCCAAAATTTGGGTCTGTCCATACGTCCGCATTCAGCTTGTCCGGCATTAACTGCTGGTAGGATTTCAATGAAACTTCACTGGAGTTATCAGTACCATCCCTAGTTATACATATCGCCGGCACAAAATGGCGTTCAGATCAATAAATAGATTTTTTGTCTGGCCTTCAAAGGTCAAACAGCTTGCGGGATTCCGACCAAAACTCAAAGGAGTGACCACTACAATACCTTGTTTTGGGAAACATGTTTTTTTTTGTGACTAAAACCCTTCTAGTTGCTATCTGTAATTATGATATTTGAAGCGAGACATATACCAATTAGAACAAAACGGACTCAAAAAAAGTTCGACAGAGCTTCATCGTACTGCATGTGATATGGAGTTTATCACGCGTATAACAGCTAGTTTCTCACTGCTAAGCATAAAATAAATTGATTTCTTCTTAAAGCAGTCCTTACCATCTAGAACGATTGATGACATGGTTGGAAAGTTGTCTATTAAAGATGATGAAAAGCTCCCTGTGCCATCATTTGATAGGACAGACGAAAAAGATTTGTCACTTTCGGATGTGGAAAACAAAGATGTCAAAAAGGTAAATAGTTTAGACACTTATTCAGTTACAGTTCTTGCAAATATAACAGCAGTAAAAAGGCATTTCAACGATATTTATTTTTTGCATTCACAATTGCTGGGCAATGATATCACATTAGGAAAGGGAAAAAAGCTTAGAAGCGGATTGGGACTATTACTGAAAAGGAGAATTTTAATCAACTGGACTGAGCCCTCAGGAACAAAAACAAACGGAGTATTCTAATAAATGAGTGAAAGAATGAGTAGATATATATCTCTCGCAGACAGAAACTCATTCGAGTCGCTAACCAATCTGAATTCAACCGGCATCTAAAGTTGCTTTCACCAAATCAAACTATTTGACATGTTTATGTTTGTTTCTCGTCTGTCTTTTACCCTGTAATCATTGCAAACTGTATGCAATGATCTATGGAGAATAATAACATTTGAATCGAGAAATATGCTATTTTGAAAAAAATGCAATAATCAGCTATTTTTTATTGACAAATATACGGAACAAAATTAAAATGTACGCCATATATAGTTCAGAAGAGCTTCATCACCCACACTGTGATGATATATTGAGGGTGACACTGATTTTGTCCAAATGACTAAAACTCCCTGCTTAGCTTAAAATAAATATCTTTCTTCTCAAAGCAAACCTCACCATCTAGAACTATTGACATGGTTGAAAGTATGTCTATTAAGGATGATGAAAAGATCCCTCAGCAATCATTTGATAGAACAGTTAAAGAAGATATGTCGCTCTCGGATGTGGAAAAAGAAAGAGTCAAAAAGGTAAATTTTATGTCAGGTTAAGAAACGAGGTATTAACCCGATATCTCAGACAACGTGAGCTAACATTCCAATTTATGATAGACATTTACTAAACCTTACAGATACTTGAACGAAATGTTTTGCAACTTGGTTTAACATGTAATATGTAGATTCATACCAGTCATGATTGTTTGTAAATAAAGCCCGGAATGGAAGCATTTTATCCTATACCAACAGTTCTTTACCAAGCCTTTCACAAAGGGGTAGGTGGAACATATGTATTCTATAGCTACAGTCCTAGTTTATTTTAAATTGTAATATAATTTCTTTGATTTGGTTAACTAAGAGGGCAAAGATTGTGATGGAATGATCCGATGATATACCTATAAAAATCAGTTATAATTATTATTTGTTTACCGCAAGACACATTAACCCAAATAGAAGTAGAGTCATGTTCTGACATAGCATATTATAAACAGATAAGAACGGCGCGTGCTCGCGTGCTGGTATTGTGTAAGATTTGTTCTCCATTGATGTACCTCTGTGTGCTCAAACATTTTGCAGTGCTATAAAATATGGATGGGTATACCCGTCATACAGAGTGTTAGGGGGTAAACTGGGGTCAGCTGGTCGTCGGTCGGGCCGGTCAATTTCACATTTTTTGACGGGGACACAACTCAAAATTTGAAAGTAGATAGATTCCATTCAGTAGAAGTGCAGTTTAAAAGAACCGTATCTCTGCCTTGCCTAGTTTTATGAGTTATTGTTCTTTGTGTATCGTTTTACTCTTTTAACTTTGTCCGGAACATAACTCTAAAACGACAAGGGGTATAAGCAAGAAACTTTGCAGGTAGATAGACCTCATTGAGAAGAAGTGAATTGCATCGCGACATTACTTTTAATAAAAGCACTCGAGATATGAACAAGAAACTTTGTATAAAGATAGATCTCCTTGGGTAAAAATTCAGTGCAAAAGTACCATAACTCTGATTATCTTTATTTTGGATTTATTGCCCTTTGTTCATTTTTAGCTCGACTATTCGAAGAATATGAGAGCTATTGTAGTCTCGTCGGCGTAGGCGTCAGCGTCCGCGTCCGCGTCTGCGTTGGTTAAAGTTTTTTGTAAAGTCAAATATCTCAATTATTACTTGAGATATTCGATTGAAACTTACAATACTTATTTATAGTAACAAGGTACATCAGATTGACAAGTTGGATAACTCTGCCTACAATATTGACAGAATTATGCCCCTTTTTAACTTAGAAATTTTGGTTAAAGTTTTTTGTAAAGTCAAATATCTCAATTATTGCTTGAGATATTCAATTGAAACTTACAATACTTATTTATAGTAACAAGGTACATCAGATTGAGAAGTTGGATAACTCTGCCTACAATATTGACAGAATTATGCCCCTTTTTAACTTAGAAATTTTGGTTAAATTTTTTTGGTAAAGTCAAATATCTCAATTATTGCTTGAGATATTCAATTGAAACTTACAATACTTATTTATAGTAACAAGGTACATCAGATTGACAAGTTGGATAACTCTGCCTACAATATTTACAGAATTATGCCCCTTTGTAACTTAAAAGTTTTGGTTAAAGTTTTTTTGTAAAGTGAAATATCTCAATTATTGCTTGAGATATTCAATTGAAATTTAAAATACTTTTTTATAGTAACAATGTACATCAGTTTGCAAAATTGCATAACTCTGCCTGCAATATTTGCAGAATTATTTGTCCCTTTGAAACTTAGAAGTTTTTGTTAAAGGTTAAAGGTCTTCAAAGATATTTACTTGAAACTTTACACATGCACTTAGGGTCATAATTGGAGGGTCATAATTGTATGTACGCTCCCTTCGTCACTTACCAAGTTCCATAACTCTGTCTTGCATTAAGGCTGATTCGTATCCCCTTTTCTACTTAGTCTCTTGGTTAATGTTTACATGCAAGTTTTACATATCTCAATAACTATTAAAGATATTAATTTAAAACTTCACATATGCATTTAGGGTCATAATTGTAGGTCACTGACAAAGATCCATAATTCTATCTTGCATTTAGGCTGATTTTTCTCCCGTTTTTCAACTTAGAAATTCATGGTAAAGTTTTGCTTGTAAGCTGTTATCTCAATAACTACTGAAGGGTTTGTGCCTTTTTTGGGACAATTTTATGCATTCATAATAATAAAGCAGTGATTTACTTGATAAAACATCTTAATAACAAGCCTTTGTACCTTTTCTGTCAAATTTATGTATTCATAGGTTATCAGTATTATTATACTCAATAAAACACCCTTGTGACATTACCTTCCAAATAGTCAAGCCAATACTGTATAATTAGACTCTCTCTAAGGCCTATAAACATGAATTTATAACAAAAAATTAGCCCTTTTGTGAACTTAAAAAAATTAACATTATCAAGGCTCTTTTACTATCAAGAAATAGAATAGTCGAGCGTGCTGTCCTACAGACAGCTGTTGTTACATTTTGTACATATTCCTGGACATAAGTCGCATACTGCGAATTCACTTAAATTCGTGGGCATGAAATTTCGTGGTTTTATCAAAAAGGGCATTTTCGTGGGTTCTTAAATTCGTGGATTTTCGTTTTCTTGTTAAAAAAAATTCAGTTACCTAGCAAATGCAAAATAATCTTAAACTTAATCGCCGAACATTTTTACTTACAACATGTACATATCTTTACTTGTCACACAGCGCTTGTCAATAAATTTAATCCTTGCCTCTGGGCATAACTAATATAGCACAGTTATTGCCGATAATTGACTGCAATTAACACATTTATGTGACATGATATACACACTGTCCCTGTGATTCGCCGATGTAAACATCGCATAATTTATACTACACCCATCTCTTGATATGTCACCATCTCTATCTCTGTCAAACCGCCGTGATCAAACAGTTCTTCTTCGATGCCGAATTGGACACACTAAAGTTACCCACTCTTATCTCCTCACAAATGACAATGCCCCTTTCTGTGTAGGTTGTAATGAAAATTTTACTGTCAAGCATTTTCTTCTTGAATGTCATGATTTTTCACAGGCCCGTAATAGATTTTATTCTGTAAATTCACTCAAAGAACTTTTTAATACAATTCCATCAAAAAACATAATTGATTATTTAAAAGAGATAAACTTGTATTCTAGGATCTAATTGGCTCATTTCTATTGTCATTTACAATGTTTTACATAATATTTTAAGCGTATTATAGCATTCGGCACGATATGGCCAGTTATGGGTTGACGTGCCGTAAAAATCCAAACAAACAAACAAAATACTACACCCTACAGGTTTTAACCTACACGCAACGTCACATCGACTGTGTAAATTTACATGCATAAAAATTAATCTCGGTAAATAACACGAGTATGTGTGGATCTTGTATTTTTTTATATCTTGTAAAAATCGGTGGCGTCTTTGATGTTGACGGAATAGCATTCGCACAAATACAGATTAAAATTCATATAAACTTGATCATTTAAAACGACAAAAGAATGTACAATAAGTCTGTTTTAGCGATCGCATTTTTTTAATAATTTTGTGTACTTACGACAATAATATCAAATACTTTTTTTTAATAAATAAGAGCAAACTGACAATTTTTATTAGCGCTAATTATTGCACTGCCTGGGTTCCCATATTTATTCGATTATGTCAAGTATTTTTGTTGACACAATCAAGTCCTAGTAGACTACAACGATCAAGTACGTATATGCGACATTTGTGACAGTAAATTGAGGACATATAATCGAGTTTTCTTTCAAGTGTCTTAAATATTGTAAACGGATTTAATATGTCACTAACCTGATTATATGTCTGAATATACATCCATTTCACGAAATATCGGCCGGAACAGAGCCAACGCATGTTTGTAATACATAAAACAAAGACTTGGTAAGAAGTATTTGTTGGGATAAAAGTTCGTGGGATCTTAAATTCGTGGATTGACCTACCCACGAAAACCACGAAAATTCGTGCCCCACGAATAATAATGATTTTACAGTAATTTGAGAACTATAAAAAAATGTTTGACTGCGTGGGTTCAAACCCTGTCAGGAACAAGCCGTTGTTGCCTTGAGCAAGAAACTTTACATTTGTTGATTTCAGAAACGGATTCGCGAGTGTTTCAATAAGCTTTCAGCTTCCTACAAAATCGAACTAAAATAAATGTGTAAAAACTAACTATAAAAGGTATCAACTTAAAACTATTTAAATATATAAATCACACTGAGTAGATAAGCAGTGCAAAAGAACTGTAACTTTGTCATACCAAATTTTGGAGTTATTGTCCTTTGTTCATTTCTACATTTTGAACTTTGTCCGAGACATAACTCTGAAACTACAAGAGATATCAACAAGAAAATTCGTAGGTAGATAGATGTTATTGGGTAGAAGTGCAGTGCAAAAGAACCATAACTCTGTTTTCCCAAAATTCTGAATTATTGCCCTTTGTTCATTTTAATACTTTGAACTTTGTCTTGGACATAATTTGAGAACTATCAAAGGTATCAACTTAAATCATTGTAGGTAGATAGATCTCATTTAATAAAGAAATATATTTATCAAGTTATTAAGTGCAAAAAACGGCTCCGAAATACATAAATGATAACGGGAAATATGCATGATAATGAAGCATAATGATTAACAACAATTACCTATGAATACATAAAACAAACACCTTGATTATTTAGTAAATTACGAGAAACAATTTCTGGAGCAAACCTTTGAAATATATGTATCAAAGTGCACATGCGTGAGATGGCTTTCCCGGGAAGTTTGTAAAAACTGAGGCCCGGCATGCAAATTATGTCGTAATGAAATATAAGTAATTAGTTGTTATGATTAAAATATGATGAAATGGAATAATATAGGCATAATATAGGCTTATCGGAGTGAAGAGAAATATAACACAGACTAACCGGCAACCACACAACATACTAAATATTTACAAAATACGACGACAAAATGATACATAAAAAATATGCATAACGCATAACGAAAAACGAGTATGTATTAGCTACCTTTCTTCTATACAAACTAATTACGGTTTAGTTCTTTTTTGTGTGTTACGTTTTTGTAGAAGTCATTCAAAATCAACTATTTTAGCTCGAAGTATATGGAGATGTGCCCTACTCGCCCCGGTGTCAGAGTCCGCGATTTTTGTAATTAATTTATGGTAAACAATAGTTCATGTCGTTTCAAATATAATCGCTTTAAAATATGAATGTAAGGTATTGTCTAATGAAGACACCGTACTTCAACCGAGTTTCTTGGTGGTGGACATTATTTTCTCCTTTGTGATTGATTGCATCTAGCTCAGTGAAGGAGTTTCGAAAAGAGTCTGAAGCTGTATCAACCTGCGACAATATTTCATTTTTTTTCTCACTTACTATTGTATTTGAAGGAAACTTTAAAATCATCACAAATTCTTCAACGGTCATATTTTCACCTTTTCGATATGGAGATTTCTTTTTAAATGTTTTCCAAAATTCCCGTGGATTTCTTCTTCTCATATCATTCATTCATTTTATCAACGTTTTTATGTCAGATCCTTATGTTTGTTACAATAGTTTTTGTTCCACGTTTCTTTTCTTCAAGGATATTTCTATTACTTTGGGTTTCTTTTTTTCTAGATAATAGTTATAAGTTGACTTAAATTATTTTTTTCTGATTTACATTCCTCACTAAACCGCTCTTTCATATTTGAGTCATTATACAGAAAATAAATATTCAGTGCTACTGTTTCAAAATACTACTTGCCTTTATCATTTAAAAAGGAAGTCTTGTTTATTGTGTCTGTACTATCCGTTATTTATTCATTCTTGTAAAATCGTTCCTATGTATTGTTTATCATATGAAACGACATTTATAAATGCTTTACCTTTGTGATGGTTTCCATTTAAATAGAAAAATCATGGACTCATGTTTATCGTATTCCGAATCGAGTTGACTTTGAATAAAAATGCCATCGGTACATGATGAGAAAAGTATGGAAACGTTAATTGGGCACCTGAAAGTTGATACTTACCTGTGTTATTGTTTGTATTTTGTCCACTTTATCTCGGTATCTCGTGAAAATATACGACTACTTGATGCATTGATGTTTCAATTTTATACCAGAAGTTTATTTCTCTTCAATACTCACTCTTCTTTAAGACATGTCGATATATCGGAACTGGTTTTGATGAGAAAAAGTAAATTGGGTACCTGAAAGTGGACACATATCTGTGTTATTGTATGTAGTTTTGACCACTTTATCACGGTATCTCGTGAAAATATATGACTACTTAATGCATTTAAACCATTTATTTTTTCTGTTATATCGACATGTCATAAAGAATATTATTGTTACATACTTTATAACGGCATTCCGCAAAAACATATGTTGCCAAAGCCTAAACATGTCGCGTAGAGGCGATTTTTTTCTACTCTTGACCAGTTCCGTTATATCGGCAAGCCATAATGAATAGAATTGGGGGTACGGAAGCTTGTATGTACCCCCGCTATGAAGACATGAAGTCGTCTCCCTCGACTTACAGAACACAACAAGTCGTCAAAATTACGACGACAAGATTATATATACCATGTCATTTGACAAAATATAGGTCATCATGTCGCGATACGGCATCCCGACTTTCATACATTAATATATTTGTCGCCTAGAAGTAACATGGAGGTCGACATACATGTTATTTCAAGCCGACAAGTATATTTATGTATGAAAGTCGGGAAGCCGTAATTCGACATGATGACATATATTTTGTCAAAATGACATTGTATATATAAACTTGTCGTCGTAATTTTGACGATTTGTTGTGTTCTACAAGTCAAGAAAGACGACTTCATGTCTTCATAGCGGGGGTACATACAAGCTTCCGTATGGGGGAGGAAAACTTCTTGTATAAAACTAAAATACTAATGCATCAAGTGGTCATATATTTTAACGAGATAACGAGATAAAATTGACAATACTACATACAATAACACAGGTAGGTATCAACTTTCAGGTGCCCAATTAACTTTTCCATTGAAAAGTCATTGAAATCATGCACAGACAAATCGGCTAAATCTTGAACGTGTAAATGTGAGGGTGACTAGATAATCAACCACGGTTTCCTCGTTAGATTTCGTGGCAGCCAATTTGCCTATGTTTTTATCTCTAAACAATCTAACAACTACCTATGGAAGCTTGAATTGACCCCCTAGATGCCGTGTTCGTATTTAACTCGTGTGTCAGCATGTCGACATATATAAACGCGACATGACGTCTTTTATCATGGTTTGTTGTACAAAATCTAGGCATCTTGACCACATATGTTTCAGTGCATGTCGACAAACACTTTGTCCATATATTATACTGTTGAAGGCATGCCAACAAGTTTTTTCCGGCATGTTGATATACCTTATCTCAACTGCACGTTAGTTATTATGAGAAGGCTAAATAATAAGGGCGTTTTGCCGACATCCTTTCAGGCATGTGGACATATTTATGTCGTTATACTTCTCCGGTCTATATTTGACGCAAAATGTGTAAGCATTGTGCCATGTGTAAAAAGGAAGATAAGATTTGGTAAAGACAGTCTAAAACGTAAGTTTATTTATCTATCTTTTTATTCACAGACTTACAAGCGCACACACGCACGCGCACGCGCGCGACACACCCACAACCACGCACACACCCACACACACCAACACCCTCCCCCCCACACACACACACACACACAAACGCGCGCGCGCGCGTTCGTACACTCATAGGCCTACACATACAAAACTTATATATTCCGTTACGTTTAAGAATATCGGATTTGAAATGATAAGCATGTATATAGTCATGAACATAAGATTAATATTCTGTCCCTGATACTGTTGTAAATGTTTGAAATATTCAATGATGCTGCAATTTAATCTATTTAAACTGGGCCAAACACCTAAAAAAACAACAACAACAACAACAACTTAAAAAGCGATGATTCAACAATAATCTAATTTATCACATAAACCGCAGCGCAGGAGTGAAATACAGCCATTTAATAGAACGATAAATATTACACTAGTGTAATAACACTTTGACGTGACGTCATTTGCGCTATATATACTGTACAGGTATAAACATAGCGTTATTTAAAACGCGCTAGCGTTTCACTATAGGCGCGTCAATGAAAAATGACTCTTTTTAACAGTTTAACTTTGTTTCTTATTTTATATATGTGATAAAATGTATATTATATTCGTGTAGATTCAATACTAAATTTAGATCTATTGATTTATTAATAGATCTAAAAACAATATTATGCTCGCCAGAGGCTCGCATATAATATCACATAGATCTACATCGTTGTTGGAGTCTCGAGATGCCTTCAGTGGCCGAAAGTTCCCCTTAAATCCACATTACTGTCACCAAAGCTTTAAAGATTGTTACGTATGTATTTTTAAATTAATATTTTTGTCAGTTCTACAAGAGTACTATATACACTGATGAAAAAACTTGTCTACTGTATGCGATTGCTTCCCCTTACGACACTAAAGTAGTGTGTTAATTAACAGTTTTCTCCCCTTGCAGAAAAAACGCCATTATGGAGCGATCAGAAGATATGGAAGCAGAAGCAGTCTTAGCAGAGGTAACTTTTTCTTTTTAACACAAATAAAGGTACTCGTTTATAGATTCCCTCACCCATTCAACTCTAAATAAACGGAATATGAACAGTAAAAGTAACAAGTGTAGAAATCTAATAGAAAAATATGTACTCTGACACTGTAAAAATATTGAATAAAATAGTAAATTCACAAGTACAAATCACTGGAGAAACATTCGAAATGCATTTTGATGGAAATTGTACTTCTACTAGTGACGTGATTTATTTAATGACTTGTAAAAAATGTAAACTACAGTATGTCTATTTAGTACGTCATTTCTTTTATGTTGCAAATTGAGATGTACATTCATACCCCAATTGTGACAGCTTAACTTGTAACTGCAAATAGATATCAAAATTGAAAAATTGCATTATAAATAGCTTAAAATGGTTTATTACCATTTATCTGAAGTTGAGTTAGTCAAATTTTTTTCAAAATACATAACTGGTGATATTTTAACATTGTATGGCATTTTTTATGTGGTACAGTACAGTAGATCTATGTAGTTTGTTAACTGATTGAAAGGTGGTTGTGAAATTTTAAAGAACAGGAAAATGGGTCAGAAATGATTTATCCTCGATTCATAATAATAATCCAGGTAAATTTTTTAAAAGTTGTTGCATTTATTAGCTGAAATGATAAAATTTTTTTATAATTTCACTGTCAGTTATTGTAGGAAAATCTGTTACCTTATCGGAAAGTGGCAGTTACGAGTACCTGGATATTTTTGAAATCCGGGTCAACTCGGCCCTAAAACTAACTTGGGCCCCCTGAGTCATCTCGGCTGTACACCAACTTGACCCATGATTATAATTATATTAAGCATCGGTAAAGCTATTGTTCATGTGTTAGACGGTATCACATATATTAAAAGTACTCTATTGAGATGCAAAATGGTAAACGTAACCACAACCATAACAGTCAAGTTATCTTCCCCACTTTCTAAAATTACTAAATATGGGAAGTTGTCTAGATCTGCAGGCTGGTTTCACTTACAAATTATCTATATTACAATCATCACCTGAAAAAAACTAAATTATGATTCTTAGAATGATAATATATGGTATGTTAATAATCATATGTTATATATAAGTACCTATTGTCACACCCAACCTTAAGTTAACTTTTGAGCTTTTTATTTTCCACTAGAAGTTCATTTGATATCCTCAACTTGCATAATTAAACTTCATACAATAGTCAAGCACAAAAAGGGCAAGTGCAGTGCAAAATAACCACAACTCTATCTAAGGTAATAACATAGTTATTACCCTTTGTTACTTTTCAATTGCTTCATTCAATCATCAAGCACATTAAGAGAAAGTGCAGTGCATAAGAACAGTAACACCATTTTGACAAATGACAGAGTTATTGCCCTTTGATTCTTTTCCTTGTCCGGAGCATAACTTGTTAAGTATTGGTTGGAATTCAAAACAACTTCATACAATGGTCAAGCAGAATAAAAGAAAGTGCAGTGCACAAGAACTGTATCTCTGTCCATAGGAATTATAAAGTTATTTCCCTTTGTTACTTTTTCATTGTTTTTTTCTTGTCCAGAGCATAAATTACAAGAAAAAGCGCAGTGCACAGAAACCATAACTCTTTCTTGAATCATTTAAGAGTTTTTGCCCTTTGTTACTTTTATTGTCTAGTGCATAACTTGAAAATTAATGGTTGGAATTCATAGAAACCTTCTACTGGTCAAGGGCAGTGAGATGAAGTGCAGTGCACAAGAAACATAACTATATGGCCTTATTACATTTATTGCCCTTTGTTATTTTTTTTGTCCAGTGCATAACTTGAAGATTGGTAGTTTGAATTCAATACAACTTTATACAATGGTCACCCCAAATGAGAGGAAGTGCAGTGTACAATAACCATAACTCCATTTTCAGTATTTGTAGAGTTATTGCCCTTTGTTCCATTTCCTTGTCAGGTGCATAACTTAAAAACTAATGTTTAGAATTCAATGAAACTTCATTAAATGGTCAAGCGCAAATTGAGAGGAAATGTAGTGCTCAATAAGCTTAACTCTTTCTAGACCTATTACAGAGTAATCTCAATTGTCAACCTCATTGAATGGAAATGCAACATACAAGAACCACAATTATCTATAATTGCCCACAGCCATAACTCTATTTCAGTTCTTTTGCAAGGTATTATGTTACTTGTAACTTCCTCATTTCTGTAGCAGTTTTGCAGGGGTATTAATCACATTTAGTGATAGTTCTAGTTTTATATAAATTGCTTTTGCCTTTGTAAGTCCTGTAATTACACCATTAACAAATGTAAAAATGAATATAATATACAAAAATAATCTAAAACCCATCTTACTATCTGCATGATGTAGAACGTTAAATGTCATAAAAAAGTCATGTGATAACCACTTCATTGGCTTAACTTGACAGTAAAATTCCAGAGATACAGTTAAGTTCAAACTAAATTTCCCAGCCTTGTGCATATGTTGTGCACTAGATCTGAAAAGAAGAGCTTATTATGATCACTTGGAGTGCACTAGACCAAATGACCAAACAGGCTGACTATTGGTTTAAAATCAATTGTCCAGGAAAAAGTCATATATTAATTTATGCTACCTGATATTTTCAAAGTCTAATAAATCCAAACTACATGGTAAAAGTATTAAGTTTTGACAAGATTAACCAACATACTTTTTAAAAAGATTTAAGCAAACGTTGAAAACAGCCCCTTAAGTAGAATTTAGGGATGTTTTGAATAATATGTAGGAAAATGGTCAACATAGTGTTTAAAATGGATAGGGTAACATTTTTGTACATATTTAAAACATTTTGAGCAGAAACAATCATCTTACTTGTATAATTTGTTCGCTGATTGCTATTACTTTGTTTCTTATCAAAGATCAGTAGGAAAACATTTTCCATAATGATAATATCATAGATTATTTAGAGTTTCCTCATTCCAGAAAATGAGCCCTTCTAAAAGTAAAGCTTCAGATCAGAAAAAAAATACATAACTTGTTAACTGTACAGTAAAGTTTGCTTACATTTTGCTGCAATGTTGTCAATTTTACAGTTCTTAATGGCCAAGGTCAAGGTCACACATAGGAGTCAAAGTTCCAATGAAAGTATGTATTCTTACCATTTAGTCATCATTTATTGAGGTTTTGAAACACAAATGGTCATTATCATGACTTCCATTGTGAAGCTAAGTATTGCCCACATAATCCAGGTACCTGCTACCAAAGTCAAGGTCACATAGAGAGGTCAAAATTTGTATATGGGGACCATTTAGTCATCATTTATTGATGGATAATAACACAAATGATAACTATTATGACTACAAGTGTGACACATGTAATTAATGTATATATTTGCAAGGTTAAGTTCACTAGAGATGATAAAATATCCAGATATTGCCCAGATATTGCCCAGAGTATATTTCCTTTTTATGCATATCTATACTCCCACATCTCTGACAAAAGCTTTTGTGACAGCGTATTTTGTGACAATGTTGCCCTTGTTTCCTATAATTTGCAAAAGTGAAAATGGATTGTCTTCATACTTGGGCAGACCATGACACTAAAGGTGTAATAAGTGAATTTTGCAATAATTTGCAATAATCTTGGTTATTTACTTATGGTTATGTTGTATACTTGGACAAGAACACTGACCTGTTAAAGTATTCAAATATGGCATTGTCCTTTATTATATGACCTTGATATTGAATATAGCTTAGATTGTCATTACTTTGTTAATTAAAAAATTATGTACATATATTTTACCTATACTTATACAGAAGAACAAAAATGCCCAAACCAACATGTTTAATTCTTCATAAATGACCTCAACCATTTGATTGACATTGCCCTTGAGACTGTTGACTTTGACCCTCAAGGTCAAATTATGGAAATTTACTTAACCTGTCATAAGTTTGTTACTTTATTAATAAACTAGGACACATATGACAAAACTGACATGTTAAATGATTCTGATATGACTGACCTTATATGAACCTTGACCTTCATGGTCAAAGTTTTGAACTTTGTTCAAATTGTCATTACTTTGTTATTTTATTTATACTTGGACATAAAAAACCAATATGACAAAGCCAACATGTTAAATTATTCCAATATGACCAAGAAAAATTGATCTATGAATATTTGAAATCAATATGCATAAGTATCTCAAGAAAAAAATATTTTTTACATCTAAAAATATTAAGATTTTATTTTGTAGTAGTAGAATCATCCACTTGGTGCGCTCTGGAGTGTCACAGAAGCCGTGAAAATTTAAAAGGAGAAAGAAATTCTGATATAACAAGTTCTATTTTAGACCAATGTGTCGACAACTTTTCCATTTATTGATCTCAATATCTGAGCAAAACCATAATTACTATTAAAAAAAAAACTCTTCACTGCTTAGTAACTGGTTGGAGCTAAGGCCATCCTTAAAAAAATGTTTGTTTGCAGTAACGCGACCGACTCACAAAATTTGCCGCTACTCAAATTTATTTTCATGGTCTGGATAAAAAATTTTTTTTTTTGAATCAGAAAATTATGCCTTGTGCTTTGTTTTCGTTCTTTTAAAGGTTAATAGAAGAAATAAAATGTTGGTCTTATTAAATTAGAATTCAGTTATCAATTTATTAATTGTTATCAGATTATCAAAGCATATATTGTCCAGCATTTTGAAATTCCATGTTTATTTGGGAGTACAGTTCAATTAAAAAAAAAATCGACCTACCTACCCACCTTGAAAATTCTGGGTCGGGTTCCTGCAAACAAACATTTTTTTAAGGATGGCCTAATAGACGCTTGTTGGGTTTTTTTGAATTCCATTTTCACAGTTAACAAATAATGAATGAAATTTGAACATAAATAAGAGGACCAAGGTGGCCCTAAATCAGTCAAATGAGTACTTGCATGTTTCTATGCAAGATATAAATTAAATTCATAGGATACATCAAGGCAACTATTCCTGTCAATTTACAAGAACAACACTTTGTGACCAAACTGTGGCCTACTGAGCGTTAGGAATTGAGTTACATTGGAAGAACATGTATTTAAACTTTTAAATGACTTTTATTATCATACTAAAGAAAAATTTATATGATTATGCAGGGCTGTTGAGTGTTGTAGTTACCCCATAAAGATATGGAAAAAACTTTTTTATGTCTGACATAATTAATTTCTCTAATTCTGTTTTTAGATGACAGTAAACCGGAACCAGACTAGACCATTCAAGGTTACAAATAAGGCCAGAACGAGGAAAGTTGGAGTAGTTGCATGCAACTACTCCGAACTCAAATGCAAATGTAAGTTTAATTATAATAAAAAAAAGAAATTTGCTACCACAATTATGCTGATTTATATTCCTGATGTAGAAAAGAACAAAATATTGATTTTTAAAAAAATTATTTTATAAATGAGTGGGCAGAGTATAAATTTGTTGGTCACAGTGCTTAACTCTGCCTTCACTACTCTAGGAAATTCAATTCAACTGAATTTCAGAGAAGTATTTTCAAGATGTGCTGCATTGCATATATTGTCAGAGTTTTTGTGATTCATTCATTTGTGTTAGAATTATATAGTCCTTTGATCAATTTTTACATAACATTATTATGCAATAGAAAAACTGTCTATATTTAACAAAATGTGATATATACACATGTAAAGTTATTACAAAACCAAAATGAATAAAATAAAGCAAAAGGCCTAAAATATAGGTATTTAACATGTAGCTTTGCCATTTAGGCACCTCTATAATGTTAATGTTCCAATCATGGCCTCCAGGGAAAAATTGACCTTGTCCTTGGTGTTATTTGAATTTACAATGGAAAATGCCTAAAAATAAAAATAAGCCCACAGGCCTATAGTTTTAATATTTGTTATGAATATCTGATGTAGCTGTACCCAATTTGTTCAAATCATGAACTGGTTTTGTGACAATTTTTTGTTCCCAGTTTTAGTCTTCAATTTATGCGAACAATTTCTGAAATTATTAAAGGTAAGATGAATAGCTGGATATTGAATTCAAGTCCAAAACTTCATCAGTTCTTTTCTAATGGCAATGCTCACAAATTATCAAAGATAGTTGAGGCCTAAAAGCTTGGATAGTTGTACAGTTCAAACATACAAAAGAATTTCTATTAGTAATATTGCACATGATTTAGACACAAGTGCTGTTTATGATATCAGATTTTAGACTGCCTGGCTGCAAGGTTTTCGGGTTATACCTTTGCTACATTATGTATAGTTTTGTTTATGGATGCAGGTCAGGAGAAGTTTAGAAGTTTAGAAGAAGATGTGACTTTTGTCATTGAGTCTGATGGGACAGAGGTTGACTCAGATTACTTGGAAATGGTACATTCAGAAATACTGATGTTTCTCCAAGGTGATGAAAACTGGGAACCTGTGAGCTGTCCCGCCTCTGACCATGCTGACCAGAATTCAGGTACTCTTTACTATTGAAGAATGTTTATTGAAATATAACAATACCATTTAAAGATTAACATCTTACAAAAACTATGATTGTACATTGAAAGGTCATATATCATAAAATAATCAGAATGTACAGTATGTTAGGTATGACAGTTTGAAATTGAGTCATGCGGCATCAAAACCAGGTATGTTAGTAGTCAGGTGAGAGCAGATAATTCTGTCAAGGTTCATTCACAGATACTGGTGTTGTCTGATCTTTGTTTTAAAAGAATTCTGTTATGTGGTAAGTTTGCTTTAAATAGCGCTTCATTTCAGTATTAAGCAGTCAGTTGATTTTATTCTCCTTTTTTCTCTGCAATACTTGGGAAAACTTTGTGAGGAAGTTTGCCACTGTTTTGTTTTACTTTCTTATCAAATTCTCAAAGAGCAATGGTTCTTGACAGGTGATAAGGAAAAAAAATATATTGTAGTTATTAACAAAGCTGATCACAAATATTGTTGACAAATAGTTTATACTTTTTATTTTACAACAGACATTACTATGTCAATCATGGAAAAGTTGAGGGAAGACAACAGAAGAAAAAGAACACAAAAGCCAATGGTATGTCCATAGAATTACATGCTACAATAAGAATATAAGAACATTTTCAGGAGTTTACATATCTATAGACATACAGGCACAATTAAAACTGTTCAATTGAATTTCTATAAACTTGGCATGATGTTAAAATATGATTACAGAAATATTTCATATTGAAAAAAAAAACCATCTGGTATCAGCGATCGTACTTTTGAGTTATCTGCCCTTGAATCAGATTTAACTACTTATTTGAGGTGATTTAAGGGCAGATAACTTATACAACCTCTTATATCTTGTTTTTACTCCTGGGTTATGTTTTTCTTTATATTGTTGGATCACAATATGTTATAACATGCAATCCTGTATTATTTCTGATGGAATTTTTCAGTTTGAAGAAATGAACTTAAATTATGTTAAAAATAGGTTATTTTTAGGTAAAAATGGAACTGGTTTATAGAAGAAGGAAAAAAAAGACATTGCACTCTTAATTCATTTTTGAAATTTTGCACATGAAATGTCAACAGAAGAGAGCTACGTGAAAATAAGATAGAAAAAAAGGGAAATGTTTACCTTCATTGTTAATTACGTACCGCTGAATTGAGCACAAAAGTCCAATTTATGGGCAGATAACTCTAAATAAAGAATAATGAAACATTTTTTTTGTGCTTAAACTGTTTATGTTATTCATTAACAGCCTAACAATTTGCAAAGTTCAATAAAATTCTATTAAACAGGTTTAGATTTGTCCATATATCTTTGTGAATACTCCTGAAATCACCTTTAAAAGTTGCCAAACCATGTATGAGAAAAAGTATTTATAATTTTAATTTCTTTTGTTTTGTACATGTATATGGCAATGTACAGTAAACTAATATAAGACCCAAATTTGAGCCATTGTGATTGCCTGATGTCTAGATTGTGATTTTTATGATTCCAAAGGAGAGCATAACATCATCTGTATGTCCTTGTGTCTGAATTTCTTGATTGAGACATAATTCTGAAACTACAAGAGGTATGAGCAGGAAACTTTGTAGGTAGATTGATCTTAATAATTGGAAGTGCACTACCTAAAAACCATAACTCTGCCTTTCATTTTTGAAGTATTGCCCTTTTTAATTTTTACCCTTTGAACTTGACCTGGGACATAGCTCTGAAAGTACAAGTAATATCAACAAAAAATTGGTATATATATTACATTGAGTAAATTTTGATTTTATATTTTTATACAATTAAGCTCTACTATACAGAATGTGCAAAAAAAATCCATTATGGTTTTATTGTTTCAGCTGGAGAATAAGAAAAAACAAATCAGTGTGCATGTTGGCTGGATGAACTACAGATTCAGAGATAAGAAATACCACCTAATTAAAGGAACTGGGGGTAATCCTGATTCTGGACCAAGGACCATAAAATTGGCCAGTCAATCAAACTTTAAAGAAATCCAGGAGTTCTTAAGATCTACTTTTTTTCCTAACCGAAGAAGCTTTCTTGGTGTGGCGAAGAGATTTCAATTTTCAGTGGGAAATTTTGATGGACAGGAAATAAATGAAGATACAAAGCTGTACCAATTTATTGGTAGCAGTACGAAACCCAGAATTTATTTACTGTCTAAAGAGGTAAGTTAATTTTTGTAAGTTTAAGTGTAACAACATTTTCTCCAACAAATTATTTAAAATTTAAAAGGAATATTTTTAGGTAAGTTGAATGATTCACATGAAATTTAAAATTCAAAAGGTCTGTTGTTTTAAGATTGAAATGTAGATGGTCATTTGTAAATTGTTTCACACTTCATATTTTAGATGATTTGCTTTTAGATTCGATTTAAATTATTGTCCATTCTGTGATTGTTAGCTCGACTAATTTTTGGAAAAATAAATAGAGGTACTGTTACAGTTATGTCGGTATTTGGGCTTATGTTGCTGTTTGCAAACTATAACATAACATAACTTTTTAAGTTGGTGTATGGTCTTCAAACTTGGCCACAACAACCCTAATGGGACTAGACATTCAAGTATACCAGACTTAACTTAGCCTTCATTCATAAATGACCTTCTTTTTCAAGGTCAAATGTCTAAATTTTGCTTGACTTTTACAGATTTTTATACTCCCTGAAGAAAGAGAATATAGTCCCTGCTTTAGCCTTCAGTATGTCTGTCTGTCCGTATTTTCTTGTCAAGTTCTAATCTCAGAAACTATAGCAGGTATCAACAAGAAACTTTGTAGGTAGATAGATCACATTGAGTAGACTTTGATTTATACTTGGGCATAACAAGACTTGCTTCCAAACATATTCAATAATTTAAATGTTACCTTGACTTTAAATTGACCTTGACTGTCAAGGTCAAATTAATGAAATCCTCTTGTGTTTTTCCCTGTAGCTGGCTTTTACTGTTATTTGTGAATGGATTAACTAAATATATAGACACAACATTTTTTAAGTCAGGACCTTCATGGATATCAAACTCAAATTGACCTTGACCTTGACTCATGTATGACCTTGACCTTGCAGTCAAATAATTGAATTTTCACTGATTATTGTTATAATTGGCTGTAACTTGGTAATTAATTGATGGATTTATTGATCTTCATACATGGAAAAACAGCCTTTTGGACAAAATTAGTGAGAAGTAAATCCCACTTAAATATAGAAACAAATCATTTATCTCTGGAAATGATTTATTATACTTTATATACTTGGACAAAACAGAGTAATTAGACAGACCTATTTAGTAAAATGCTTTAGTATTCAGTAGTTTAATTTTGTATTTCTAATCTAACCAATAAAAAACCTTGTTACATTGTTTTTCTAGATTCCAAGATCCTTTGATCAACAGACAGATTCTGACACAGATTCTGACTTCCTTCCTGACATCAGGCCACCAAAACGAATTCGAACTCATACTGTCAGTTCTCAAGAGGCTTCAGGATATTCACAAGATACTGCACAGACCTCCTCACAAGCTTTCTCAGTTTCTCCACCTGCAGTTTCACATAATCTCGCATTTACTCCTAAAAGTACCAGTTCTTTGAATACACTTGGGTTAACTACTCATATACCAGTCATAAATTTTGAGGAATATATTCAGAGGCCAGTGGTGCCTCAAACTACTGAAAACAACATGAATGAAGCACCGGTACAACCTATACGGTTACAAATGCAAGCAGGAACACCAACTGTATGTATACATTCCAAACTAGTTTGACTTTTTAGCTCAACGGTCACAAAGTGAAATTTTGTGATCGCTTTTATTCCGGCATCAGTCAGTCTATCATTCGTCTTTCCGTAAATTTTAACTTTAAATGACATCTCATTAACAGCAACATTTCAGACAAACTTCACAGAAATGTTCCTTTTGTAGTCAACTTTAAAAAATGTTCAAAGAATTTAATTTCATGCAGAACTCTGGTTGCCATGGCAACCGGAAGAAAAAGACATAAAAAAAATTCTTTTGAAAAAACAAAAAAAAATAAAAAATAGAGCTATAATATTTGCCATGTAACATTGTCTGGTCAGTCTCTATCAAGTTTGTTAAAATTTCTGGAGTCAAAATAGGCCCCGCTCGGAGGAAGGGGGTCATTGATTTTCCTTATATGTATACAGTAAAAACTTAAAAAAAAAAACTTCTTTTAAAAAAAAAAAAAAATAGCTTGGGCTTAAATATCAAGTAAGTGTCTACCATGTTTGTTAAAATAAAAGCTGTGGCGTGAAAGCTGGCCCCGACCAAGGCCGGGGTCATTTACTTTCATTTTATGTATATAGCAATAGCAACCATAATGTTTTTACACATGCACTATTTCAGATACAAATATGAACTTTGTGATATCAGTTTAAGATTTAGACATCATATCTGCTTTTGTTTATAGTTTCCAATATTAATTGTTCCTTGTCATGGGGTGCTTTCATATACAGGTGAGCAATTTCAGGGCCATCTTGGCAGTCTTGTGTAATAATGCAATAGTCTCATTAATAGAGCAAGAATATAGATAGAAAGAATGCAGTGTTTTCCTAGTCTTTTATCAAGTTATTAGAAAACATATATGATAGACCAAATTTTAACCAAATATATTTTATCTCAAAGGTAGGATGACAATAGTGTCACAAACTTGACAATGTCATGTTTGACCGATATCATATTATTAGACTGTTGACTCGTTACAGAAGTTTTTGGTTGTAAATTGTGCATAAAAAGATATGGATGATAATAAGTCTTAAATGAAAAGACATTATAATATGACTAGAATATTATTTAGCATATTTTGAAGATGAACACAATTCACATCATTACCTTACATTACATTTTATATGTTTATTTGATTTCAGGTTACAATTGATCAAAAAACTTGCTGCATATGCTTTGAAAGAGCAGTTGACACAGCCTTGGTGCCATGTGGACATTTGTTTTGTTTTGTGTGTGCCACTGCACAAGAATGCTCTTTGAATAAGAACTGCTCCTTGTGCAGGAAGTATATACAGAGCATTCTAAAACTTGTAAATTCCAATTAAACTGTTTAAATGTATGGCTAACTTTGTGGAGCTCTGAATGGTGAAGATCAAGGTGTTATTGACAGAATCATGACCCTTTTAACCAAACTTTGTTAAACTTCTGGTTTCGGCAAAATAACTTTTAAAGGATTTAAACCAATGATTGCCTTTGTACATGACAATTGAAAGTATATTATAACAAAACAGAGTTTAAGGTTCATTTTTCCAGTAATCAACTTGTTACTGATAATCTCTTTTGCTCACCTTTCACAAAGTTGAACGGTGTGCTTTTGTGATCACAATTTGTCAGGTGTCTATCAGTCGGTTGTCCAAAGTAAACTTTTACTTTCAATGACAATGTCCAAAAAAAAACTTAAAAAATCTCCTTTTTAAAATATATAAATAGCTACAGCTTACATATCAAGCAAGAAACATCTTCTAGTGAGTGTCTACCAAGTCTGTTCAAATAAATACCCCGCCAATGGGTGTCATTGATTGTCCTTATATGTATATAGTAAAAACAAAAAAATATCTTCTTTTAAAAAAACCAAAGAGCTAGAGCTTATATATTTAGCTTGAAAAATCTTCTAGTGGATGTATACCAAGTCTGTTCATATAAAAGCCCTGGGTACAAAATTGGCCCCATCCAAGAGGGTTATTGATTTTCTTTATATGTATATATAGTAAAAACTTAAAAAAAAACCTTCATTTTAAAAATCAAAGAACTAGAGCTTATATATTAAGCATGAAAAATCTTCTAATGGGTGTTTACCAAGTTTGTTCAAATAAAAGCCCTGGGTACAAAATTGGCCCCATCCAAGAGGATTATTGATTTTCTTTATATGTATATATAGTAAAAACTTAAAAAAAAAACCTTCATTTTAAAAATCAAAGAACTAGAGCTTATATATTAAGCATGAAAAATCTTCTAATGGGTGTTTACCAAGTTTGTTCAAATAAAAGCCCTGGGATCAAAATTTGCCCCATCCAAGAGGGTTATTGATTTTCATTATATGTATATATAGTAAAAACTTATAAAAAACCTTCATTTCCAAAATCAGAGAGCTAGAACTTAGATATTAAGCATGAAAAATCTTCTAATGGGTGTCTACCAAGTTTGTTTAAGTAAAAGCCCTGGGATCAAAATTGGCCCCATCCAAGAGGGTTATTGATTTTCTTTATATGTATATTGTAAAAACATAAAAGAACTTCACAAAAACCAAAGAGCTAGAGCTTAGATATTTAGCATGAAACATCTTCTAGCAAGTTGCTACCAAGTTTTATCAGATAAAAGCCCTAGGGTCAAAATTGGCCGGACTTGGGATGGTCATAGATTTTTTGGATATGAACATATCTTTTTGAACTGTTGTTTACCCTTAGCAAAAGCAAACAGTAACGTTATTACACATGCACTTTTTCAGATACAAATATGAACTTTGTGATATCGGTTTAAGATTTAGATTTTATATCTGCTTTTGTTTGTAGTTTACAATATCACTTGTTCCTTGTCATGGAGAGTTTTTATATTCAGGTGAGTGATAACAGCACCATCATGGCTTATTTTGTTTAAGCAAATTTTGTGTAAAATTATTGGTTTTTGCAGAATTACTATTTAAAGATTTCTATGACTGGATGTAAATTATTATTTTAGTATGTTATATCAAAGAAATTTGCTGCAATCAACATATCATTAAAAGAGTTATGCCCCTTTTAAAAAAGAATTTCAGTGAAATTATTGGTTACCTCAGGCATAGTGTTTAAGGACTTCAAAGATTGTATTTTTCTTGAATTTGTTTGCTTGAAATACTCGGGTTAACCTCAATACAATGTTCAAGTTTATTTTGTATGCAATAAATTTGTTATTGACAAAGATACGCCTCTTGATGCAAGTTAGTAAATAAGGTCAATTATCACATAAACCGCGGCGCAGGAGTGTAATAAAGCCATTTAATAAAAACGATATTACACTAGACAATATTACACTTGTGTAATAACACTTTGACGTTACGTCATTTGCGCTTTATATAAACATAGCGTTAAAGCGCGCTAATGTTAGCGTTACACTAGGCGCGTCAATGAAAAATGACGTCTTTTAACAGGTAACCGTTCCTATTTTATATATATGATAAAAAGAATATAATATTCGTGTCGATTCAATTATAAATTTATTAACCTCAATACTAAATTTATTGAACTCGTTGAATAAGCCAGAGGCTCGCATAATATGATTATTTTCAACTCGTTCAATAAATTTAGTATTTAACCTACACACATTTAATATCCTCTATTTATCTTTTATTACTTATATGCTACTTCCTAATATGGAATTGTTTTTTCTTTCACATAGAATGGAAAAATCAGATCATTTATGAAAAGATTTGCCATAATCATGGGGGCATATTTTTACCCCCCCCTCCCCCCACCATCAACTGGCTGGCTTTCTGTCCCTTAAAAGTGTTAACATTTTCTTCTTGCAATCTTTCCTTTCATAACCTACTGAACTAAGGTATTATTTTTATATATAATATAATATGCCTGAAATTCTTTAGGGAAAAAATTCCTGAAATAATTTTGTCATATTATGTTATACTCCCTTGCGTCTGTCCTTACCTATGAATGATACATTGTGTGACTTGGAAAACAATGGGTAACAGTAAATTCTCTTTTATCCTATTCATTCTGTTTTGACTTATGTGTTTGTTTAAGCCTTGTGTGGCTAAAAAGATTTTAAAAAAAGCCACACAATGTATCATTCATAAGGACGTCAGTCAGTCAGTTAACAATTTGGTTTCCGGAGCTTAACTTAAGTTCCATTTGGCCCATAATATTTAAACTTCATAGGATGACTGTCCATATTAAGTAGAGGACCGCTATTGATTCTAGGGTCATAAGATCAAAGGTCACTATAAATAACTATAACCTTAAAACTGAAAACAGTTTCCGCTCAATAATTTAAGTATTAATCAACCTACAGCTGTAAAATTTTATAGGATGAACAGCCATGTCCAATACCTGACCCCTATTGATTTAAGGGTCATAAGGTCAAACATCAGGGTCACAATGACCTGAACACTGAAAATTATGGTTTCTAGAGCATTACACAAGTTCCATTTGGCTTACAGTGTTCAAATTTCAAAGGATTATTGCCTATATCGAATAAAAGATCCATATCTATATTGGGGTCACAAGGTAAAAGGTCAATATCAAATGACCTTGATATATACTTTTTCGGGCTTTTTATGATCCGCCTAGCTGTGCTCTTGTGGACAATTTGATAAAAGAATCTGCCTTAGGGACATTTGGGTTAACCAGACATGTTCTTGATTTTCTTTGAAATTTGCCATCTGGCATATTTTGTCCTGCCTCATTAATTTTGCCCTGCCTCAGTTGAGCTCTTGTATATTTGGTGTTTTTATTTGTACCTTGCTGTATTGTTACCACTTAAATTTTTATATTTTTGTTTGCTCAACCATTGTATAAGTCATCAAGTGCTTACTTAACCATTTTATTAGTAATCAATTGCATATATTACTCATGTGTTTTGTGTTGTGCTGTAGATTTCCAGGAATCCTGGGCCAATGAACTACAAAAATGATAAGGTAGTAAAAGTGAATGAGCACAAAACAAGTGAAATGAATGATGAAAAAAGCTTTGTTTTTAAAGTTAAATTGTCATGTAACTCATAATTAGCTCACCTGTGCACTTTGTGCTCAGAGGTGATGTAAGTTGTTAGTGTGTCTGTCCTGTTATCCACAATTTCTTTTAATATGTTATCCTTTAACAGTCAGTAGAATTTGACCAACTTCACATGAATTATCCTTAAGTCAGACCCTCTACAAAATTTATTTGAATGGTTTTAGTTTTTTGTATAAGTAACATATGTCTGGTTTAGAAATAGCTCTGTCCTAAGGGTCACTTAGTTTACATAAACTATATGCATACATATGGGATATTTAGCATGTAGCACCACCTTATGGTCCCCTTCTAAAGATAAATGAATCATATCCTTGGATTCAAATTGGCCCTTCTTCAGGGATCATTTAGTTTATATTAACTTCTATAATGGAAAAAAACAGTTTAATTTTCTTATGGAAAACAATACCGCTCAGAATTTTCATAAAGTGTTGTTTTACCTACTGGAAATATACATATTTTTATATTATGCCCCTGTTTCAAGCATGTATTGTACAAAAGTTATATAAATTGTGCCCCTTTGGTCAAAATTTAAGGCCTGGGGCTCTTTAGTTTATATATGATTTTAAATTTAACATACACCTGAAATCATCTTGTGTGAAGAAATAAAATGTTTGGCATTTAGTGTTTCACCCAACCCAATTTGACAAAAGTACTGACTTTTTGTATCAAATTATAGAAGTCAGATCAGATCCATGGCCATTATGATGCTCTTGCTTTTTTTTCATAGTTTTTGATGAAAATTTGTTTTCTTATGTTCCTTTTTTTTTTAATTTTTGGTGAAAGTACACTTGATTGCATAGAATTTGAGCATCTCTTTTTATTTTTACATTTTTTCACATGCACATAAAATTATGTTATTGATGCTATTTTCTATATTTTATAAGAATTCAATGCATGTCTTCTTTCATTTTAAATAACCTGTTACAAAGTTTTTGTTAATGCCCTTTGTCATCCACTGGCCAATAGATGCAAAACAGATAAACATTTAGAAGCTATGCAGAACTGTAATTGCCATGGCACCAGGTCAGAATAACTTATAAAAGTTCAGACAGGTGGGCATTTTAGGCATAACAGGGTCCACATGGGTATTTTTTATTGAATTTAGTCATTTTTTATGATTCCTAAGTTTTATTTCTTTTTCTTAATGGTCACTGAAAGTGGCTTCTTACTTTGTGGTTACATTAAACTTTCATTTTATTTTATGCATATTAAACTTGCTCAATCCGTCTGTATGTACGCCTCTCTGTTCCCACTAACACAACATTTGTATTCAGACTGTAACTTTGTCATGCATTTAAGGATTTTAAAATAACTTATAACAAATGTCTACCACATCAAGATGATGTGTAGTGCCCAGTGCGACCATAAAAGTCAAGGTCATGCAATTTATATACTTACAATTTCAAGGTTCATATTCTCACAATTATTGTTTTAAGGTGTTTCGTAACATTGTAATGAAAGACCAATGTCACGTAATTTGTTTGTGATAAATTATGTACTCTTGCAAAGGTTTTTTTTTTCAGTTCAAGTTTCACTTGTTCAGAGAAAAAATCCAGCTTAAATTACAGTCAATTGTCATATTTCCTCTTTGTACATGTATATTAACATGAACATTTTTTAACGTTGAATGTAATTTTTTTTAGCTCACCTGTCACAAAATGA